GCATAGTAATCAGTGGTAAAGGACTTAAGCACGGTGGTTCTCTTGGTTGTGACGAAGGACTTGTATCAAGAGTAGAGTTAGATTGTGGTAACCATGAGTCAAAAATACTAACAACATGTGAAATAGTCGGAGAAACATAAGCCGATTTAAATGGAAAAGATTTCTCATCTAAAACAATATGACGAGAAATAAGAAATTTTTTACTAAGAGGATGAAAACATTTGTATTCTTTATATTTTTCACTGTAACCTATAAAAATACATAAGGCTGATTTAGGAGTAAATTTATGATTTCGTGTGTCCCAAGTGTATGGAAAGCATTTAGAGCCAAAAATACCAAGTGACAAATAATTAGAGTGATTACCATGTAAAGTAAAATATGGATTGTCGAATCTAAGAGACGACGATGGCAACCGGTTGATGAGAAAAACTATTGTAGTAAAGACTTCTACCCATAAGAAAAGTGGAGCATTGCTATGAAATAACATAATCAAACCCAGTTCATGAATAATTCGACGATGTCTTTCAACCATACCTGTTTGTTTTAGAGTATATGGACAAGGGATCTAATGAATGATACATGTTGAGAAAAAGTGAGATGATAGTTTTGAGTTGACAAACTCACCTCCACCATCTGAATGAAAACTTTTGATCTTTTTATTAAACTGCCTAACAACATACTGTTCAAACATTAAATAAGCTGCAAAAAAAAAAAATCTGATTTATGTTTCAATGGAATGACCCAAGTATATTTTGAAAAATCATCTACCAAACAAGCATAAAATTTGAACTTTTCAATAGATAAAATAGGACTTAGTCCCCATAAATCACAATGAATTTTTAAAAAATACTAAAACTAGAATTTTCAGAACGAGAAAAAGTTAATTTACTAAGCTTCCCTAATTGACAACTATCACATAAATGTTTAGGCCTTATAGGGCCTAAAACTTCAATTAATCTTTTATTTTTTAATAATTGTAGGGCTGAAAATTGAGGATGTCCTAAATGTTTATGCCAAATGTCCATTGTGCCAGATTTGAATCAATTGGAAAAGTATACTTCTGGCGTGTTATTTAAGAAATACATGTCATTTTTCTGTCTCCTTGTTATGATTGATTTCCCTATGTCTAATCCTTAATACAAAAATCAACATTAGAAAATTCATAAACAACAAAAAATTGAGTGGTTAGTTGCCTTACAAAGAGTAGATTTCTTTTTAAATCAAGAACTAAAAAAACATCCTTGAGAGGTAAAGTAGTATTTTTTTGTTTGACAAAGGAATCACCAATACCAGTTATAGGTAAAGAAGAGCCATCTCCAATTACAATAGAGTCAGGTCCAAAATAATCACGAATATAACATACCTGATTTATTTGTCGTATGATTTGAGGCTCTAGTATCTAAAGTCCACTCAGTTTCAACAATAGAGTTGTGTAAAATGAGAGCTGCAAGGGATTATAGAATATCATCATTCTTAGTTGTTTGTTTTGGTGCCCACCAATAAATTTTTATAATGTGACCTACTTTTCCATTTTCATCTTGATATAAGTTTCGTTTTGCTAAGGTCATACGCCTCTCACCCGGTGGTGGAGGACGTCGTTGTTGTGTAGCGAATGCAAAGTCGTTTGAGTCTCCTTAGCTTTAGTTTTTAGATTGTTGTGCTTGAAACCCACGGCCTAAAGATGTGAAACTGTTGCTGCGATTTCTTGAAGATGTATTTTAAGATTATTTTGTTGCTAACCACAGAATGCTAGATGAGGAGTGAGTTGAGAGATCGACACGTTTAATCGATTAGAAAACCAGTTGTGTCATTGATCAAAATTTTGAAGTTGTGAGACTAGTTTAAAGTATAAAGGTCTTGGAGGTTTAAGCATTGTAGTTGTAAAAGTTTCATACTGTGGTACAAGACTAGTGAGAAGACAAAATACCTTTTCTTTATCATAAACAAGTTTTCCAATAACTGCCAGATTATCACATAAACCTTTGAAAATATGAAGGTGGTCTCCAATTGTTTTATCATCTTCTTTGCAGAGATACATCAATTGTTGACGTAGTGTGAACTCATGTTCTTGTGAGTCTTGTGCATAAGCATTTTTTAATGCCTCCCAAACAGCATGAGCTATTTCTAGACCAATAACAAGCCCAAGAGCCTCTTCAGAGAGTGTTCCAATGATCCACCCTCGAAGAAAACGATAAGATTTTAACCATCTTCTATCAGTTTTGATGTGGTGTTTTCAGTATCTGTAGCATTTAGATTTGGTGTAGTGTATTTGGTTGGAATTAGATCTCCATTAGTAAGATGACCTACAAGTTCTTGACTCTTTGCTAAGCCTAAAGCTTGTTCTCTCCACAGTAGGTGATTTGATTAGGTGAGTTTAAGTATAATGAAATTTCCAACATTTAAGGATAGTGAGATCATGATTACCGGAGCTGTTGTGCTCGGTGAACATAACTTGCTCTGATACCAAGAGAAAAATAGTGAAGGAAATTCTTGTATTTTTATTAAGAGATACTGCTTTTTACAATAGTAATTGACTCTGTATATATATGCCAAATAAAATAAAGTTATTACAGAAAAAAACAACAAGACTGTTACAAGGATAAATGAAATGATCTTCAAAAAATAAATTTCAAGAAATTAGCAGAATAATCTTATAT